CAGCGAACCCAGCATGCTTGGGTTCGATGGAACCCAGGCATGCTGGGTTCGAAGGGGAAAGAGAAGGGGAAGGGAAAGGGGAAAGAGAAAAGGAAAGAGAAGGAAAAAGAAAAAAAAAATTTATTTTTATTTTTTATAATATTTTTTTATATTATTATTTTTTCCATGTCATCACTTTTTTTGATTTTATTGTCTTCCACATGTATTAATATTTGACATGTCATCTTTTTCCCCGTCAAGTAACAGGACACGTAGGCGGATATTTAACGGAAGGACCAATTCGGGGTTAAAATGGTAAATAGTAGGGACTAAATCAGGGATTTTTTAGTTTAGAAACCAAATCGAGGGTCTGTACAATAGTTCAGGGACCAAAAAAAAGTTTTAACCTATTTGAAATGATCCTAGGAACTAAGATGAACCTTCGCTTGGTAGCGTGGAAGGCAAGACGATAGTGTTTTTGCATTTCATCAATGGTGCTTGGTTCCAGCCTCAAGTATATTCGTGAGCTTTAAACATGTTTTCTTTTTAGTCTCTAAATTTATTTTTTTTTTGCCCTTGTTTAGTCCCTTCATTATTTTTTATATATATAACATATTAGATGAAAAAGATTTCAAAATAAAAAAATTAAAAAAATCAAAAAAGTTATTTTTTGATCTCTTTATTTAAAAAAACTACTTTTTAATTTATTTATTTTAAAATTTTATTATCTAACGTACTTCATATATAAAAAAATAACTAAAAAATTAAAAAGTGATTGGATAATAAACTTTAAAAATTTTAAAGAAACTTTTTTAAATAAAAAGATTATAAGTGTTTTTATTAAAATAAAAAAATCAAAATAAAATTTTAATCTTTTTCTGGAATAAGGACCTTAACCATCTATTGATGTAGATAAGCATGAGGATAAGAATTCTTCCTCTTCTATATCAAACTTTCTATTTACGCTACCTATATTTTATTTTTTATAGTTAACAATCCTCTAATATTTTTCCTCTACTCAAAGCCATGTACAATTCAAAACCCACCAAAAACCCTAAAAGTTAACAACATGTCACCTGTGAAGCACGTGCCGTTACATTCCATCAGATGCTTCATCACAATATATGATTGAAA